ACGTTGTTGCACGCACTAGACGAGAAAGGTACGACATCATTGTCAATGATGTTCCATGATACATTTGGTAGATTAAAGTCACCCAACACAATCATTGAATCAGAGGGTTTAATCATTGAATTAATTGATTTCAGTAAAGAAACATGTTGTGAATACACGGAAGAATCAGATCGGGGAGAAATATAGCATAGAGATAAGTAAGTAAACCCCCTTCCAACCTGTGTACGAAAGCATTTGAATTCTGCGGATTCAATGTGTGAAAGATTAACCTCTTCAGATGGAATTGAAGAGTCTACGGCAAAAAGTACGCCCCGCCGATTCTATGATTATTTTAATTTTTAAAATCAATATTAATATTGTTACTGATCGCATCTTTTTTAATAAAGTTACTCAAAATTAAGAGATAATGTGCTTTGATAGTTGCATATAAGTATGGCAAACGAGAGCTTAGATCTTAGAACTCTTTGTTAAGATTGTTAATTGTGAGCAAAATATACGATAGAAATAAAATATAGCATTTGGTTTTGCAACACATTCCTTCTGCCAGATCTGCAGACCTTCGTAAAAGCAGGAAATAAAATAAAGTTTCAAACTATCCCACTGCTCACTATTCCTAGCACAACGCTTCCTAGCGAAAGCCATCGTGTTTGAGATTTTCCCAAAATTTTGTGGGGTTTTACCGAACAGTAGTTCAGTTCATGTATCCTCTTTGGACTATGGGAAAAGAAACTATATATGTTGCGGCACAGTGTCTCAATGCTTTTCGGCAATTTTTTACAAGCGTAGCTTGAGCAAAGATGTAGTGAGTGGCATGTGTACTTTATATAAAATAAATCGGTTTCTGCACTCAATAATGTTTTCAGCCCGCCCAAGCCTCCAGCCATAACATTGGCTCCATCAGTGGCAGAACCAATTAGGTTTCTCATTTTTAAAGGCAGGATTGGCAAACGCTTAGAAGGTACAATTGGCAAATATTTATATGCAAAACGATGTTTAAAAGATATATTTTTATAATTGAGAATTTTGTTTACACGGGGGCGATTGGGGATCACGCTCCGGTGTAAATATAGCAGAAAGAAATAAAAAAAAAAACAAAGATATTTCGATTTTAGTGATTAATGCTATACAGGGTCAATTTATTTCAATATGTGCATATATAAGTTGGGGTAACAAAATATTTAAATATCTTTGGACGGGAGTGGCCTGGTAGCTGCTGCGCTCGCGTTGATCTTCTAAACCGAAGTGAAGTAAAAGGTTTACGGGACCTTAACTCGGACCGCCGGACAGTAACTGACGTTAAGGGGAAACTTATCGTAAGTTCATTATCTGGCGGTCAACCGCGCGTATTAATACATGTACGTATGTATGTGTTTGTGTATACACATAGCCATATGCTTATACAGACTTAAGCACGTACATATGCTGGCATTAGGGCTGTTCGAAAACAAGTCAAATTTAGGCTGAAAGCCTAAACATACCGGCCGCCTTGCGTTACGCAGCATCTGGAAAATACCTTGCTAGGATGCAGCTACCAAGCTCACCGGAGTTAGCTTACAATTACATTCATTTTAGTTTTCTCAAAATTGTAAAAAAATATGGCTTCGGTGACCAGCGCGTTGATGTCCGTTCTTCTTCCTACTGCTGGGAGAGGAAAGAGAGAAAAAAAGGTACAAATGTGGTCATATTTCAATGCACTTTATTGAGAAATAAAGGGTAAAAATAAATATGTCTAAAACATTAATTGTAAAATATATACATTCAGAATAAATATTAATGCGTTATTAATATTTTAGTTAGGCGCGGTAGGCGCCCGAATGTATTGTTTGCCTGGTTTCCGCTCCGCGATGTCGTCTCGCTTGATGGCGTGGTCGGAAAGGCCTGCTTTCCCATCCCGCCATCCTTAGATGTTCGTGTCGTAATAAAGGTCGGAAAGTCAGAGTTTTCGATCCCCTGTCAACGTTTGGGCGGAGAGGCCGAGTCTCGGCTCCAAATTCAATATTTTTTGCCATCCGCTCATATTGGATACCATTTAGGTCGCTCCCCTATCAATGTTCGGGCGGAGAGGCCGAGTCTCCGCTCCAAACCCAATATTTTTGCGATCCGTTCATATTGGAGACCATTTATTTAACTATTGTTGGGTGGCGAGTAATTGAGGCGGTAATTCTTTAAGTATTTGGCATAGTAATTTTCTTTATTAGATAAATAAGTTTCGGCCAGTGTGAACGTCGCATTATTTTCAATTATTTGTCTTCACAAACTAAGACGTGTAAATACGGCTTAATGTCGGTTTGCGACCCACAAAAATGAAGGGTGGATCGCACAAGTGCCATACATTCCATTATGCATGAATGCATTGGCAAAGTTAAATTTGTATCACATCGAAAAATGTAAATTGCATTTATTATGTTTGGAAGTGCCAATATTAAGTGCTGTTATGAAAACGATCATTTCCAATAATGAGTTGATCTACTAATATTCGTAATTAGCAGTTCAAGTTCATTGCATGAAGTTGTCGAAAACGTATTAATCTACACTTGGAGAGTTTTTAGCCATTCTCGCAACCCAACAACTAGCCTGTCGCCCAAAAAAAAAAATTTGGATGCCACTGTAGGTGATACTCGGCTATAAACAGGGTAGCTCATATGCTGCAGAATTCATAAGTTGAATTTCAGATTTTATTACAAAATGTCTTATTCCCTTTTGAATTTTACGTAAAAATATGTGAAATAACTACAAAAAGTTAGTGCGTTGATATTTCCTCATGACAATGCCTCTTTAAGTGCGTAAAATGTATTTATGTTAGCAAAGCTAACGATTAAGGGCCGGTTACTCAATGTCTGGTTAACACTAATCTCCGGTTAAACATAGTTATCGACGTTACCGACTCCCTGTTGTATTCATGGAGTCGAAGACGTCGATAACGATGTTTAACCGCAGATTAGTGTTAACCAGACATTGAGTAACCGGGTCTAAGAATGATTGATCGAATGGTGCGATGGTATGCATCAACATATGTTTTTTTTCATTTATGGAAAATCTACCCTATAATAAAGTTTTAATTCATGTCAATATTTAGGTATGGATGACGATGATCTTAATGAAAATTACTGTTTAAGTTAACGGTTATTACTTTGATCATTATGTGAAATAATCCAATTTTGTGATATTGCGAATGTGAAAAAGAGGACACCCGGCTACTACGAAAATTTGTTTTTACCCAATTGTTAGAGTGGTGCGTACTAAATAATTTGAGTAGTCTGAGCCCTGTTTCACACATATGCCAATGAAGAAAATTCATTCTTTTCATTGGAAGAATGGGATGGAAAGTACATTCATATACGAGGGAGATACGCAATCGCAGGTAAGAAGGTTGTAGAGGTTGTAAAAATTAATAAATTTAATTTGTAATTAACACTAATATTTTTTTTCTTTTCAGACTCCGAATTAAGCAGTGCACGGCAGTCCGCGCGATTGACTTAATATATGGATTTCTTGAAATATTCAAGTTATAGCCGATATTCTTTAAATTGATGGTCGCTTTTTGGAAGGCGGTGGCCAAATCCTACGTAATGCACTCAATTTGAGCTGTGTCCTTTGTCAGCCAATAAGAGCCTTGAATATACGGGAAAATCGGCTCAACCCGGGACTTTTAAATCAATATTTTTTTTTGATTGTAACCGCACCTTTTTGGTAACCGCATGAACTTAACTGAAATGGGGTTTCAGCCTGGTTATATCAAATCGGGGGAAACACGGTAGACACTCGGACGGCTGCAAGCGTGGCACTCTTACTGCAAGCTGCGTCACCTGTGCTGATGTTTGGTCGCGGCACTACCGAATTGGAGAATGTAGTAGGTACAAACGTAGGCATAGCGCTCCAGGTTGATACTATGACTGGAGTATTATGTCCTGATTCAGCGTGGATACTACCCACGCGGTGGCGGACGATGTGAAATTTTAATACCTTCTGAGCGTAATATAAAGGCAGTTACCTTAACACACTTTGGAACAATAAGCGAAGTGTGTGGTTGGTGCTTTGTCGTGGGTAAATTACCAATGGGTAATGAAAAGAGGCCGCAGAAAAGGAGTTGAAAATAATTTTTTTAATAAAAAATCGCGCGATTTTTTATTACAAATTTTCGCCTGCGGCGCTTTTTCCATAAAAATCAATACTTCGATAAATAACTGTAAACCATAAAAGTAGGGCTGCCATGGTATAGCGAAATTTGAACATAGTTTAAGTATATACAGTTATAAACCTTTGTGAGTACTCCTCGGTAGGAATGTTCGATATCGTATCGAAGCTCGAAAATAAACGATCTGCTTCTTTTACCTTCAGGGATTTTACAATTTCGTCGATTGCAGTGTCGAACTTGTCATCCACATAAGATTTGTGAAGTACGGGAACAGGCTAAGTATATACAGTTATAAACCTTTGTGAGAAGTCCTCGGTAGGAATGTTCGATATCGTATCGAACCTCGAAAATAAACTATCTGCTTCTTTTACCTTTAGGGATGTTACAATTTCGTCGATTGCAGGGTCGAACTTGTCATCCACATAAGATTTGTGAGCTGCACGCCGCACAGTTTTTCGACTATATGGAGGCAGATGGAAATAATAGTACACCTGCACCGATTTCACTGAAACTTGACATGCGCTCTAGTTTTACTTAGAAATAGAGAATTATGAAATTTTATAAAGATGGAATAATTGCCACGCCCTCTACTCTTGTGGGCGGAAACATTAAAGTCCCTATTACGGTTTACAACTCAACTCAGTTGAATTGAAATTGAAACAACTCAACTTTAAAACAACTTAACTCTTTTTTGGCATTACGAATTACAACTCACTTCAGTTGAAGTTGTATTGATGTTGCCAACCTAAAAAAGTGACGATTTGACAGATAATTAAACAGCTGATGATTTTGTGGCGAAAAATTAAAACAATATACTTTACTTAAGGTGTACGAGAGAGTGTTTTTTTTTCAAATAAAAAGTAAAATGGACATAAGCGTTGATTTATTTTACAACGATGAAAATTTTGGTCCCAAAACTGATGTGCTGCGCATACGGAAAAGGCTTCGTGATCACTCGAATCCTTTGGAACTTCCAAGCACCAAGTAAGAAAAATTGTAGCGACAATTGAATGGCATTTTAATAATTTTTTTTTGCAGATTCATAAGCTACTTTCGTTTAAATAAGGAAGCATTTGTCTTTTTGCTAAACGAGATGGATGAACATTTCCAGAAACGTGTGCGAGGAACGGCTGTACCTCCCATATTGAAATTATGTGCAACTCTCAGGTTCCTTGCTGACGGCAGTTATCAAAAGTGCAGTGGAAATGATTTTAATGTTGGACTGGCGCAACCTACAATATCTGTAGTTATTAAGGAGGTTTTAAATATAATTGAGCAGCATATTTGTGGAAAATGGATTACAACCCAAATGACTGAAGAGGAGCAAAACGCGTCAAAAATTGCATTCTATTCAAAAAGCGGATTCCCCGGAGTAGTGGGTTGTATCGATGGGACTCACGTTCGCATCATTTCACCAAAAAAAGAAATGCAACATCTTTATCTAAACAGGAAAGCCTACTACAGTTTAAACGTCATGATTGTAAGTGAAAATGTAAAAAGCAAATAATACTTCAAAAGAAAATGGTCATGACATCTATTTCGATTTCAAGCTTTGCGATTACAAAATGGCTATCCGGTATGTGGATGCTAGGCACGCGGGCGCAAATCACGATTCCTTTGTTTTTAACGTAAGCGATTTGAAAGAGCATCTGCAGAGAAACATACAGAGTAATTCCTGGATTTTAGGTAAGACTGGTCATTAGTATTTAATACAAAAATAGATTGTTTAAAATATTCCTTAAAGGCGACGCTGGTTACCCTCTACAAACTTTTTTAATGTCTCCTTTCCGCATGGCAGAAGCTGGTTCACCACAAGCTCGCTACAATACAATACACTCTAAGGCTCGAAATATTGTAGAACGGACGATTGGAATATTGAAAAGCCGATTTCGTTGTCTTTTATCTGTGCGTGGCTTACATTATTCACCAGCAAAATCTACACAAATTGTGAACGCTTGCTGCGCTTTGCATAATATTTGTCAACACTTTCGCGTGGAACTTTCTGAAGAAATTGCAACCGCTTCAAGTACGGAAATAAGCAATGAAAACCTGAACATTGAAACAGAAGACGAGGATGCCGCCAGAAGAATTCGCAATAATATTTTGTTATCCATTTAATAGAAATAAAAAACTCTAACTCCCATTTAATTATTTGTACTTCATTCAGTCTTCTTTTATTTTCAATGGTTAAATAACTTATACTTAATATTCATTAAATATCACTTCATGTGCTCTTAAAATTAGGTTTTTCAAAATAGTTAATT